GTTTAGAATTGTGTTTCCAGTTCCTTCTGAAATATTTTCATTTTCTTTCATTAGCCCCCTTGCGTCTTAGTAGCATTATTGCCTTACTTTGGTTAAAGTTATTAAAAATATGCGTTAGTTGAAATGGGCTTATTATTTGTGTTAGGTTGACTTTTATCTATAGTGTGTGTGTCTGTGTGTTTTATGCCTGTGTGCTTGTTTGTGTGTTTATTTGAGTTTGTGTGAGAGGGTGCATGTGTCAAATGTCGTGGCTCTTTCTCCCTTGCACCATTTTATTGCCTCCCCGTGCTCTTTCCCCTATTCATTTCCCCTCTATTTCTCTTTCTAGCAAGCAAGGGAGAGTGTGGGAGCAAGAGAAAAGAGGCGTGATAGAGGAAAGATGAAGAGAAGCACGGGGAATAAATCAAGCATCTGTAGATGTCGATTGACATTGCATTTGAATAATTGAAGATTCTAGCTATCAGGGAACGAAGTAAGAGGAAGGGAGTCACACACACGAGAAGTGCGAGACATGAAGCTATTGGAGTAGAAGAGACAGCTACATTTAACTGTTTCGACAGTGAAAGGGTGGGATTGAGATACCAGGTGTGAAAGATTATGTAACATTGCATATTCCCATTGTCTACCTGCATGCAAATTGTTTGTGAGCTAAATTAACATCTAAAAGAAAGTGAACGAAAATACAATGCAAAGAAAATTGGTAAACATCTTGAAATGAAAAATAAATTACATTATTGTCATTAGGGATGCGTTGCAACCCCTTTTTCAACTTTTCATTTGTAAGACTGTTCAGTTTAATTAAGCCTGATTAATTTGGCATCCGTTTCCTTAATCCAATAAAATTTACAAATGCTCAATTATGTATCATCAAAAGCGTGTCCTTAATTCTATCCTCTTGAGCTGAAACGACAACTTTCAATTTCGCTAGTCTCATCTGCACTCAACAAATGCAATTCAGTTGAATGGCATGCTTTGGTGCAATCAGAACAAAGCAAGTGGGATTTCAAAGAAACGGCGGAACTGAAACTGAAGACTGGACATACAGAACTTCAAATGTTTGTCTGGCCACGCGCCAATCAGCGCAGGTAAACTGAGCACGTGATACACGAGGTGAAAATTGTCCGGAGTTTATCCTCTTTTGTACAGTGTAAGATTCTATTCAGACAAAGCACGATAAATCTTTCAACACTTATTTTATATATATGTTTGCAAAGCTCTTTTATGAATCGAGCACTCTGAGTCACTGGCAAGTTTATTCAAAATAAATACGTAAAAGTTCACCTTCCGATAGCTTAGGGGAAAAGCAGTCGGGTTTCGATCCTGGCTTGAGGTAATCGGATGTCTAACCCTCTCTGATGCTGATGAGCTGTGATACAGCAAAACAGTCTATTTGTTCAATATATATATATATATATATATATATATATATATAATCACCCCCCTCCCAAGTAAGAGGCTACCGCGAATGAAAAGATTTTAGAAGGAACCGAAATCACACTTTTTAACAGGAAACGATGGAGAACCTCTACTTAATTTCAACTCCAAACAACAGAAAACAACCTCTATTCCTGTTCAAAAGATCAGAGAGGAGTGTGAACCGGGCGATAGGCGAATTTTATCTATAAAATGACTTACATGAAGCTCCACCGTTCTCTTCGAATTAAACTTCTTTTTTATGCTAAATTTCATCCAGTCCAATGTCCAGTGTCTCGAGTTAGAAGGATGCTGAATGATGAGTGTTTTACAAACGTTAAGCAGTGGTAGAAGGAAATAAAAATTATGAAGTTTTGAAGAGGAGATAACGCCTGACTATTGACTTAAAGAAGTTTGTAGTGTTCAGGACAGCGACCATGTGAGAGCTCATTCTGCAAAGTAGCTGAATGGAACTTCTTCATTACAAATGGAATAGGGTTGAAACGTGGGTGATTCGACTGCGTAGAAGCAGCTTGTTGTAATGGCCTAAACTGGTGGCACTAAAGAGAAGAGTTCATTTATACATTTGAAAACGACAATAGCGATAGATGAGCTACAGGCCCGCAACCTTGCTTCGGTTGGAAAGATTTTGCCGAAGGGAAAATAAGCAATAATCTAAAAGACCGCGTAAGCGGCTTTGAACTACATGAAGGCTGGAAAATGAGAATTGGTCAACTTTGGTCTAATCTCTTGTAAGGAAAGGCAAAAAGCGACAGGTACTTTCTTGTGTATTATAATGAACCGATCCATTTCTATTTCATCAGTGATGGACCAATCGTTTCCTCAATAGCTGTGCACACCCCATATCCGGGCTTTTTAACAGGAGTAGAAGTTTAATTCTTGATTCCTATTTAAGATTAGGTTTTTTGTTCTTTTTAAAGTCTACTTCAGACTTCTGAACACTGAAAATCTATTTACTAATTATTTATTTTCATTTTTTTCTCATCTCCACCTCTATAAGAGGGGATAGATTCGCCTACCGTCCTGTTCTTATACCTCTCTGTTCTTTTGAACAGGAGTAGGGGTCTATCCCTTGTTTCCTGTTTAGGATTGGATGTCCTGTTCTTTTTAAAATTTACTTCCATATTATACTTCTAACTTAACTCTGAAATTTTATTTACTAATTAAATGTTGACCTCTTCAAGTCTAGAATTAGCTGTTATCTTTCCTGCATGGTCAAAATAACATTATTATTAGTAAAAAAAATATATATATATATATATATATATATATATATATATATATATATGTGTGTGTGTGTGTGTGTGTGTGTGTGTGTGTGTGTGTGTGTGTGTGTGTGTATATAATTGCTCCGAGAAGCTGCATTTGCTTGTTCCCAGACTTCATGAATTCAAGCGTCCTACGAGGCGGGCATCCCGCTCTCACTCTTTCACTGTCGAAACTACTAAATGTAGCCCTCTCTTCTACTTCAAAAGCTTCATGCCTCGCACCTCTCGCCTGTGGAACTCCCTTCCCTATTCCAGTTTCCCTGAGAGCTATAATCTCCAACTATTCAAATGTAATGTCAATCGACATCTCCAGTTGCCTTGATCTATCCACTATCCTTCTCCTCATCCTTTCCTTTATCACTCCTATCTGATCTTGCTCCAACTCTGTAACCCCTTGCGTCCTAGTGGCTTCCCGCCTTGCTTGGGATGGAACGCTTAATATATATATATATATATATATATATATATATATATATATATATATATATATATATATAGCAGTAGAAGCTGTCGCAAAACTAAAAAGCAGGTTTACGGTCATACCGTGTGGAAAATTTTGATTCTTGTACGATCACCGAATTAAGCAACGTCGAAATTTGTCAGTACTTAAATGGGTGACCACTGAGGAGTACCTAGTCAGTATTTAGGTGGGTGACCGCTTTGGAATACAATGTGCTGTAAGCTTGGATGTGCGTGTGGTGTAATAGATAACAGCTCCGAATTGAAAATCGGTGAGTTATGAGTTGGAATTCAGGTTGGTTTCGCTATATTCGCTTTCCAAATAGCCTCGGGAAAGGTATATGATCCACCTCTTCCCACATTTCCGAGCTTTACGCAGGGTAAATATTATTGTAAAGACAATTATACGCATTTAGATCAATATTTCTTCTATAATTAACCATAACTAATCACATGTTCGTTAATGTAATCGATATCATTCATATGCGCCATGATTCCAGACTAGTTGAACTTGTCAATTTTGTTTTCATCGATGTGTGTGTATTTTATTTAGCTCTTTTTTTTTTCAATGAATGCTCTTATTTGCTCTTTGAAGCACTTCAAAAATTAACGAACTGAACGGACGGCTGATAAAACCTTTCCAACTGAATTTTCTTCTCAAGAACATTTCGTTACAATAACAAATAATTTGATTTGCGTTATAGGTATTTATTTTTTGTTTTTTTTTTATGTGGCGGGAGTTGGGATCTATTTTATTCCAAGGTTTTTATTTTTATTTTTATTTTTTTTTAAATACCTTCACTTTTGTCGACCGTCAAAATAAACTCGAATATGGTGATACCGTTTAGAGTTTTGCGCGAACCTGTTCTTTATTTTAAAATTACTGAAGATTTATTGAACGGTTGAAAAATGCATCGATTAGAAAATCTTTGCTTTTATGTCTCTTGTCCCTTCAAGAGTTCAATGACTTTCTACAATCTCTTATCTTTTTTTAGCTGTTAGCTTCTTCTTATTATTATTATTATCACCCCCACATTTAATTGTAATAGAGTAGCAACTCTAAGTGAAAACTTATGCAACTTTATTTGACTCGGAATCCGACAGGATGATAAGGTAATAAAAAAAACAACAAAAAAAAAAAAAAACAAATAAGAAACGTTTATCAATCTAACATGTTTCACTTTTACTAAAACTTCGTCAAAGATTGATAGAAAACAAACAAAATAACGTAACTTTAGTATTTTCAATTTTGTTTGGACCGATTCTCATTGGTCAGTCATGTATCGCGTGTATTTAGTGCCGAAAACGTTTATTTTATTGAAATGGATGGTTACAAGATGGGAGATAGGATGCTTATTTTATTACCTCATCCCTGTTCTGACATCTGTTTACCCAGGCTCCTTAAGTTAGTTACTCGCAGTTTTCCTCCACCTTTCTTACTTCAGTGTGTTCTGTGAGTGTTAATCTCTCCATCTCCTCTTTCCTCATTTTCACAGAAATATCCTATGTCTTTTTTTTGAATCGAAATATAAATGTCCTTTTGGTTTCAATTGTCCTTAAAAATTCATCGATGCTAACCCGGCCCGTCTAGCATTCTCAGAACTGCGTCTTTGTTGCTTCAAATCAGGTCAACATTTGTGAGGAAACTTTCTAGCATTCACTGTCACATAGAAGGACTGAAATTATATTGTAGATGATCAAGCATTTCCTGGTTTCTAACAAAAGAAAACTTTGCCCTTTCGGGTTTCTGTGTTACATTTTCGTGCAAATACTTTGTGATAAAATGTAAAAAAAAAAAAATAAATAAATAAATAAAAATGAAAATATAGTTGAGATATTTGTTAAAAAACTACTTCCTACCAGAATATCAAAGCCTCTGTATTGATATCAGACACGCACACAAACACACATATATATTTAAAGAAGTAATGGATTTTTTATGTATTAATGATATAGATTTTTTCACTTTAAACGTTATATTTAGTGGATAGTCATATCTGAGTAGACGCCCTGTTTATTTATTAAACAGCATACTTATTTATTTTCGTCTACCGGCCTTAATATTCAAGAAATCTTATTAATTAAAAATATGCACTCTTCGGCAGGATTCGAAATTTGCTTGTTTGACAAGGCCGAGGCGGTTAAAGTATATGTGAATTTAAGGACGGTTTCCTTCATTCTCTCTCTCTCTCTCTCACAGTCTCTCTCTCTCTCTCTCTCTCTCTCGCTCGCTATATATATATATATATATATATATATATATATATATATATATATCATCGAAGTTAAGCAACATCGAACATAGAACTTAGATAGGTAACAGCTTGGGAATACCAGATGATATAAGCTTGGATGTATGAAATACATACATGCATATATATATATATATAATTATTTATTTAAAATATGATTCCAAATCGCTACATAAGAGGTCTCATGTTTCAAAACAAGAGCCGAAAACTTCAATATAATCCTTTAAATTAAATTGAGTTTAAATTAAAAATAAAAATAAAAAATAAAAATGGGCTCCGTTCCATCTTCAAGCGAAATTTTGTTGGAATTCCAACAAAAATTTCAAGATGGAACGGAGCCTATTTTTTTTTTTTTATTTAAACTCAATTTAATTTAAAGGATTATATTGAAGTTTTTTAAAACTTTTGAAACATGAGACCTCTTATGTAGCGATTTGGAATCATATTTTAAAAATATTATATTTATGCTCTACTTTTGTTTCGAGCACTATTTTTAAAAAATAATAACTAAAATACTAAGGGACTTTGGATTATTTACCTAACCAGTTCCTTCCTATTTTCTATATATTTTCACACACACACACACACACACACACACACACACACACACACACACACATATATATATATATATATATATATATATATATGTGTGTGTGTGTGCCTGTCTGTTCCCATCTCTGTATGTATATATATATATATATATATATATATATATATATATATATATGTATGTATGTATGTATAATTAATCAAGCATTCATTCAAGTTATATTAAATTAAACTGCCACGCTTCATTTCCTTAAGTTTCATTATATTTTGACAACAGCTTATTCGTAAATTAAAAAAATATATATATAATAAAAATATAATTGTGACGTTAAAATGGACATTTAAAAATCTATATTCACATAATACATACGCATATATTAAAAGAAAGATTAAGGAAGAGCAAAGACAAAAAAATATTGCGCATAGTAAAGTGGTTATTCTAAAAATATAACAAAAAAGTTTACCGGATATCGCTCCTTACTCTTCAAAGCTCAATCGACGAAAAAAACTATAAATTTTTGGGCTCACCTAAAAAAGAAAACTATATATACATCATATGTGTTTTTTAGTCGATGTGAACACATTTATATGTTTTGTCCTCGATTGACCTCTGAAGATCGAGGACCTAAATCTCTTACTTTTTTTGTTGTTTCTTTGTTGACATATTGTGTGATTCTCCATTTGTCCTTACTCCATCTTTGTTTTATTATATCTGTATATATTGGGTAAATATATACTCTTTTAAAATACTGATTTTCAAAGACATATATATATATATATATATATATATATATATATATATATATATATATATATGGTGTGTGTGTGGGTGTGTGTGTGTTTCGTAAAATACCTCTATTGGATGCTTTAGTACGCATCATCAGTGATGTTTCTAGCCCAGTTTTATTAGGGTTTCGTGCATTTCCAAATCATACCTCCTCTCCACGGTTATATATATGTAAAATGTCTATGCTATAACTATATATATATACATACATACATACATACATACATATACATATATATATATATATATATTTTTTTTTTTATATATGTATTATTTATATATTATATATGCACGGTACTTATTGGAAAGCGCTCACCGATAGAGCTAACATATTTATTTGGATTGATATGAGTTTGTGACCCTGGGTTTCACACTCTCTGCGATCGTCAGACAAATGGATTAATTTTTAAAATTTGGTTTTATATACATATATATATATATATATATATATATATATATATATATATATATATATATAGAGAGAGAGAGAGAGAGATAGAGAGATAGAGAGAGAGAAAAAGAGAATGGGGGTGCACCAGGTAGCTGATATCAATATAATAAACAATAGTATGAAAAAAGAAAATTATGTACACGTATGTTCAACTTACAAAAGCCAAATAAAAATATAACAGAAATCACGTCACATGTGTACGTTCAGTATCATCAACAACTAAAATGGTTACCACGTCTAACTCGAAGATTAAATAATGCCATCGACGCTCTACACTACTTCAAACAAAAAAAGGAAGCCATTATCGATACTGGAAAGAGCAATAACAGTTACTAGCCTTGAGATTTTATAAATTACAACCGAAAGTTGTACTGCCTTCTGTGTCAATGAGTACCGAATGTTTCATTATAAGGCAACGGTTAATAATACCGTTAGCAGATACGACATTTTGATCGTCGAATGTTTCCATATTAGAAAATGGATAATATCACTATCATTTGTATTGAAACCTTGCGGTTACCAGCCTGATGCTCTAATACCCTCTTCTCTTTCTGACAAATCATGGAATTTCTCCCATATGACGACAAAGAAGAAACAGAGTTGGAAAAATAGAATAAAGTCCACAGAAGTCTGCGAAAATTTCGCGGTGAATCTATCACCTTTTAATGAAAGCACAGTTGAACAGCTGTTAGGAAGAAAGAAAATTGTTGTAATCTGGTCCGATATATTTAATGTGATGGTCGACCAGGCGAGCATAAATGCGCGCTACAAGAACGCTCAGGGAACGCCCCCAGCTGTCAAGAAGACACTAATTTGAATGCTTATACGAATAACGAACACATGATTGTATGAAAAACAAGACGCGAGAAGTTGTTAAAGTCTGAAACTTTCGCATTCAATTGTTTTAGTATTTCCCCACTCTATATCTTTTAGTATAATATATATATATATATATATATATATATAGATAGATAGATAGATAGATAGATAGATTAGCATCCACAGACTGACTGTTTCGCTGCATCAGAGCTCATGATTGTGGTTAGACGTCCGGTTGCATCTAGCTAGGACCAAAACCCGGTTGAATTTGTGTCAGTCGAAGTTGGCGCACGGCAGGGATGAAGGTGAATTTAAGCGCATTTATTTTTAGAGAAACACACCAGTCACTGAGAGAACTCGATTCGTTTCATAGAATATTGCATTGGTAGCAGTAATAGTCACAGTTTACAAACTCACACTTTCTCCCCCGAGAGCTGAACCGAAATATTATTTCAGGGGCATATACTGTTATCCACAGACTGTTTCGCTGTATCACAGCTCATCAGTGTGACTAGGAGCCCAGTTGCCTCTAGCTATATATATATATATATATATATATATATATATATATATATATATATATAATTCAGCCAGCACGAGTGCCGAGTGACACTCAAAGTAGAGTTTTACTGAATAAGATTATTGTAACGTCATGAATGGAGGAGAAAGAGATACATATTCTGAGGTTATATAGGATAGATAACAGTTCCACACAGGCAGATTCTTGTCCAGGACTGTCGCAGATAACATTTTAACGGGTGCCACTCGAGGTAGATGGTTACATTAAGAGTCAATTTATACGGATAAGAGGGGAATATAATCGTTAAACCTAAACAGGTTAAGATTGTAGTGTTTGGAGAAACATGCTGGTCTGAGAAGCACCCCTAGGGAACGTCTGCTTTGGCTGCTAAGGGTCTGGAAGACTGGCCGTTAACATCTACCCTCAAGGACATTCACGCTAGGAAGGACTTTATAACTGAGAAGACCCTTCCAGTGATTCCATAGCTGGAGAGCTTGAGCAGAAAAACTTTGTGCAACACCTTGTCAAATGACTTTCCTCGATATGAAGTGGGTAAGACTGTCGTGGTCAGGGAGCACCATCTCTTTTCACAACAGTTTATTACTTTAATCATTCCCTACCAATTAAGGTAATAAAGCCACTAAGACGTAAGGGTTTACTAAGTGTGAGAAAATATGAGGAAAAAGCGCTATTAAAGAGAGAGAACATTAAAAGAAGAGGAATTAAAAAAGACAGAAGATAACGATTGGCATTATATTTAAATATTTGAAGATCAAAGTTGACTAGGAAGTAAGAAGCCGGAAGAGAGTTCAGCAAGAGAGAAGTGCGTTAGACGAAGCTTTTAGCATGGAACTTATGGTTACAGGAAAGTAATATTTATTCCTGGTAATTTACAGGAAATATAGCACAAAGCCAAAAGAGGAGATAAAGAAATGCCGGTCTTCAATTTGTCTTAACTTAAAATTAGCTAGCTACAATCACTGACTCAAACAAACTACAATATTCCTTGCACCAAAACAGCACATTCTTAATTACTATTCTTCCACCCAGAATACCTCAAAATCCCAAACTAATCCCCATATGTATAATAGAGGAAAGTTCATCAGAAGTTATTTATAGAAAAAAACTGAAGGGAAGTTATATGAAGCTATTTATAGAAAAAAACAAAGGGAAATTATATTTTTGGGATGGTAAAGTAATTAACGACGAGATGCCATGCCAGGAACAATAACATTGCAGATTCTTCTTTGATTTTTATCAAGAATATCTAAATATATAGCACGATTCTGGTTCTGGTTCTGGTTCTGGGCAAGATGTTGTCTGAGTGGAACTTCCTCTTTGCCAATAGAATACGAAATGGTGGAACTAATATATGTAGCTCTGAAAATTTTCTATAAAAATAGCAATATTTAGAATAGTGAAAGGTTAGAAACTTTTTTGTCTATAGGAAAAGTGGTTGCAGGGTGAAAAAATAAACCATTATCCATAAGGTCGCGTGTTCGCATTTCAAATCTGTCATTCTAGCACAGTAAGAACTGGGCAGCGCCAGCCATGAGAGACAAAGAAGCAGACAAACAGCGTCGATATTTTTGTTATAAGAATCCATTAAAACAAGTTTTATTAAATCCAACCGAAGTCCGACTGTTTATTTTTTCATTGTACTAAATGTATTTTCTACTAGAAATTTTTTGTACTAGATGTTTTTTGCATCACACTGAGACATATTAAAATCCTCATATCATTTAGTATTGTTAAAATTATCACAAACATTGTTTGTCGAGATTTACAAAGTCTACGGTTCGTTCAACTACACAAACCAATCTATAAAAATTTGAATAAGCTGATTTAAAAAAAATACTTTGATAGAAACCCTACGTCGTGGTTTAATAATTTCTTTAACTTAATTTAATTTTATAGGACTTCATGCTAAACAATATTTTTGAAGAAATTTTTTTTCCTTTTCAACAGCGAAGAATAAATTCTTAGGATTTCTTACTCTTGAGCATGCAACGTACAACTGGCCATACGTAAATATTTCTTTCTGGAGCCAAATTCTAACTTTTTGAAGCGTTTGGCCTTGTCATCTGTTTATAGTTCTTGCAAACGTGACGCGAACTGGAAACTGGATTCTTGTATATATAAAAACTTAACGAAAAGAAATATAGATATTTCTTATTGGTTGTATATCCAAATGAAAATTGTGGGCAGACTCTTCAAAATTAATATCGTTCGAGTTTTCGGTCGAGTGCTATTGATCATTTTAGCGATTATCAAGAAAAGGATGTCAGTACAAAATTTTATTGGCTTCGTTTAAGCAGTTTTGGAAAGCTACGTTTTAAATCGAGATATACGTAAACCGAATAAATGACGTCCTTTTCAGATCGGTCTGAAAAATATGAATATATCATATTATCTATATGTATCATCATCATCATTATTTTAATTGCATATTAGATATTTATACACATTTTAAAATAGTCTCTTGTGTTCAAAGATATATTTGTTTAATACGTCTTATTTCTTTTTGTAAAACCTACCCAGGTTTCACCTAAGCGGATCGTCAGGGAAAGCTGGCTTTCCCTGACGATCCGCTTAGGTGAAACCTGGGTAGGTTTGTCTGGCTCTCTAGGTTTGACTAGGTCTGCTCTACTTTGTATTGAGCACTTTTTAGTTAGTTGTTTACTCGTATCGAGTTTTTTTTTTTTAGGGGTGGCTTTGGACCTGTATGCTGTTTGATTATTTTCGACGGACGTTCATATTCTAGCTCTTTCTTTTTTAAAACCTTTTTTTCCTTCGAAATTGATTTGACCATTAGCAAATCAAGAAACCGAAAACTTTTCCGAGACGAGCGTAGTTACATATATATATATATATATATATATATATATATATATATATATATATATATATATATATAAATATAAAGAGAAAAAAATGTAAACATAACATCCATTTCTTGTTGGTTTTTCTGAATATGAGTACACATAAAATAAAAAAGCAACATTATTCAAACTTAGTTGATGGGAAATTAATTATTGTGTTGCTAATTAAATTTATGACGTAAATGTCTGCCAATAAAAGACATCCTGATTTCAAACATTGGCGTCCTTTTTTGGTTTCGACTTTTTTTTTTCCAGATTTCATTCTCAGCCCGAATACCAATCATTTTTTTCTCCATGGCAATTTTTCTTCTACAACATTATTTTATAACTTGTCTTTTTCCTTTAGTATCTATCAAAGGGTCGGAAATTTTTTATTTTTTTGCTTTCTTTTTTTTTATTAATTTTCGCTTTCAATAAAACCTTTATTCAAAAATTCTTTCATTTCTTTCTTTCTTTCTTTCTTTCTTTCTTTCTTTTTTCTGCCATTCATTCATTTATTCCTTTCTTTCTTTCATTTCATTTCATTTCACTTCGTTTTACTTTAAATTTACTCGAAATTTCTCTCTTCTTTCATTATTCAGTTTCGATTTCCCTTAGTTTAGAAGATTTTTCTCCATTTTTCTGTTTTTCTTTGACGTTTTCTCTTTTAATGCATTTATTTCATTTTGAAACTTCATTATTTCTTGAATTCTTTTCGAAAAACAATTTAGCTTTCTTTTTTTTTATTTCTTTCTCTTTTTTCTTTCTCGATATTCACTCTTTCTTTTTTGCTTATTATGATTTTTTTTCCGACACACGTTTTTTCTTTCTGTTTTTCTTCCTAATTTCGCAGTTTCTTTCTTTTCCTTTTCCATTTATTTTTTCCGTTTTCGTCTCGTTCATTTTTTTTTTTTGTTGTAATTTTCCAGTTTCTTTTTTTTTCTTCATCTCACCATCGATGTCCATCATTTTTATCTGCTTTCCTTTCTTCTTTCGTTTCAGGATTTCTTTTTCAGTTGTCTTTCTATTTGTGCCACACAGTAAAGCTTTCTTTACGCAGACGCAGAGACAAACGCGCGCACGCGCACACATATTGACTGTGTTTTGAAAAGGAAACGTTATATAAATATTTATGCTGACCTTGATTTGAAAATGAAACATTATATAGATACAACAATCTATTTCTTGTTAACAGTTAATATATTTCAACCTTGAAAATGGATAAATGTATAGCCGAAAGCGCTCGGATAATAATTGGACAGTTTTTATATAATTTATTCTCCGAAAGGAAAAAAAAAGATCACATGAGAAATTGTATAAAAAACTAAATCAAAGCACCTTGTCTGTCATATTCAATGAAATGTGTATAAAAGAAGAATTGATGCCTAAATACACACGCTCACACACCCACACACACATACACACACAAACATACGCACACACAGACACACAGACATGCACACACAGACACGCACACACAGACACACACACACACACACACACACACACACATATATATATATATATATAAAGAAATATAGTCTTAAGGAGTGCTATATTTATGGGATAAAGTGCTCAATATCAGAGATAGAGCGTGTGAATATATATATATATACTAGCAGCATGGCCCGGCGTTGCCCGTGCTTGATTCAAAAATCGTACGACTCATACAGCAATCGCTATCACTTGACTTAAAATATTTTTGCCCTTCCTTGCCTTTAAAGTAGTGCCCTTTGCCGTGCTGATGTTGCTACATGCCTTACTTCTTGCCTATCTCACACTGCGAATTTTTTCTAAGCACTATATTAAACATTAAATATGTTACGAAAAAAGAACTAAACAAAATGAACACAAAACAATCAGCTTTAAAAAAGGACTCGTAACTGGAAAAACCGAATGGAAAAAGAATGTTAACAACAAATACTTTTTCACGCCCAACCCAGTTCTGCGGAATCAGAATCAACGTTGAGTTTAAGCAAACGAATGAGCCAATTGGAGTAAAGTGTCATGCAGATTTAAATTTTTCCCACTTTTGACGAAAGCAGCTATCGATTTTTTTGCATGCTAGCATGCTAATTAACATTCGTGTCAGTCAGCTGTTGGCTCTCACGCAGGCCAATAGAATCTTCCTGCCTATTCGTGGCAGGCAGCTATAGGCTCTCACTCTGGCCAATAGAAAATGGCCACAAACTACATGAGAACTGCCGCCGAAGCATGAAAAAATCGATTATTACCCCTATCGATGGGGGTTGGGAAAAGCAAAGTCGGTCTTGGTCTTCCCGCTAACTTAAGGCATGTGCATGTAAATTTTGATGCAAATCCGTCGAAAATTTTCCTAATGCCTTAACATTATATAGGAGGTATTTCTCAGAGTTGTATGTGGGAGCTATTTCTGCTGGACCCTATGTATATATATATATATATATATATATATATATATATATATATATATATATATATATATATATTGTTGTATTTAGGCAGTATAGTTTCATTCATACACGTTTCATTAAATAATATAGACAAGTGTCGTCTATTTATTTTATGTAAATTTTTTCGTAACATCTGATAATTTTAATAACATTATCGTTACACGAAGAAAGAAATTCACAATATTGATCCATATTTTTTTAATATAATCTAAGCTTTCGGCTTACTTAAGCCATTATCAAAGATGTAAATTACAAACATATTAAACAATATACGGACAAGACAGTTATGATAGTCTGTCATTGTTTACATAGTTGATCACTAAGCAACGATAAACACGCGCATATCAGACGCTAGAAGTGAAAATCGCACCGCATCTCATGACGTCACATATGACCACACGAGAGTGAATTGGAGAATGATGTATGGAAAGCCGTTGGTATAAACCAATGACTTCTGTTACCAATTATAGACATTTAAGAATATTTGTAGAGATGCCATAATTGATTTTGTTTAGGTTGGGTTTCAACTGTTTGATGTATAATGCTTCAAGTATTTTTAGTTTTTGTTTATTGTTTTCATGTCGAAGTATAGTTGTGTTTTCGACAAGTATTTTACGGAATTGTTCGTGCGGGCAGGCATGTTGTTTTAAATGCCTAAAAATGTTAGAGCTTTCATTAAAATATAGTGTCAAGCGTCATGAAAGCGAGTTTGTGGTGTGACCAACATAAATATTATTTAATTCGTTGGAGTGTATACAATGACAGACTATCATCACTGTCGTGTCCGTATATTGTTCAATATGTTTGTAATTTACATCTTTGATAATGGCTTAAGTAAATGAAAGCTTAGATTATATTAAAAAATATGGATCAGTATTGTGAATTTCTTTCTTCGTTTAACGATAATGTTATTAAACTTATCAGATGTTACGAAAAATTTACATAAAATAAATAGACAACACTTGTCTATATTATTTAATGAAACGAGTATATATATATATATATATATATATATATATATATATATATATATATATATATATATAATAAAGTAATGCATTTTATTTTAGCATTCCGACAGATATTTAATACTTTAAAAGTTATCTTTAATGGATACTCAGTTTTCAGTAGACACTCCATTTATTTATGAACAAGCTTAAAAGCCACCCTATCGGGCGGTGTTTTTTGCTAGCTCCTGCGGAGGCCGCTTGATTGGGCCTTTGACTTGTTCAGGAGTTGGAGATTTTCTAAGTCTTTGCATATTCATAGCACTGGAAGCTCTCCTTGCAGCCGTTTGATCTGGGTTTTCATTTGTACGGGACTTTCTTTTCCTCGCTGCAGCCTTGGCTCTTTTGATTGCAGTCTGGTCTTAATTTCCCTCTGAAAGTTCTCCACTGCCTTAACCAGGTATTGAACTCACACTCTTTGGGTCCTATCACTGGATCTAATCAACGCCTTTATCCAATGTGCCATGTGTCAGGACACATGGCACAGTAAATAAAGGAGAATTAACAGGAGATAACTGATAATTGGCATCCATTAAACATGGCACGTGGAACTAGAATAGTCTAAACCAGTGTGGGAAATAAAAGGTTAAATTCGACATTCCAACCACCTGAAGAATGCCGGCGCGTACAACGGCCAAAACGTTGTAATAAATATGTTGAAAAAGATGAGGGCAATAGTCCGAATAATATAAATAATATACATAATACCTCATCTCAGAAATATAGACAGATACTGAAGGGCCGAAACGTTGTAATAAATATGGCGACAAATATGAGGACAATAGTCCGAATAATGTAAATAGTGTACATAATACCTCATCTCAGAAATATAGACAGATACTGAAGAGCCGAAACGTTGTAATAAATATGGCGAAAAAGATGAGGACAATAGTCTGAATAATGTAAATAATGTACATAATACCTCAACACAGAAATATAGACAGATACCAAAAAAAATAGGGTTCATACTTCAGAATAAAATAACAGTCTTTCCGAGTTTTTATGTATTTTAAATTTCCCTCTGTTATTGTTAAAGAAAAACTGTATACGCATTTTTATTCCACCGTTGAATGACATTTTTTCCATAATTTTCGTTGTTACTTTCAATTTTATTCATCCTGGCGAAGAGCATGAAATACTTATAAGTGAAAGGTGATCACTCCCGCTGTCAGCGTTTAGCTATGTTTATTTGAACCTTCTTGCAGGGTTAGCCGACATCTAACACGATTTGGGTAGACAGGATTCTATAGCTATATAAGCATCTAGTTCAGTGATGACTTGACTTCGCTACACAGAGGACTTCCGTGACTGGTCAACAGCCAAGGCTGAGGGTTCCCCACGAGAGATTCAATAAATGATAATTAGGCGTTTCCTTATAAGGAAAAATTCGACATTCGTTGATCGAGCAGCCAGTACTGCTTTTTATGACAATTTACAAAATCGTTCTCTTGAAATAATTTTTCAGAAAAATCGATTTCTCAAGTCCATTAGCTGTTATCGCTCTTTCCAGTGTTGATGGGGGTTTCCTTCCTAACCTTTTGTTTGAAGTAGTGTGGAACATCTGCCTCTGGACTATGTCATTATTTTCTCTTCGATTCATATATAATAGCCATTTTAACTGTTGCTGATGTTGAAAGACCTCAAGTGATGTGGTTCTTGTGATTTGGTACTTTTTCTGAATCTGTAGCGCCAGTTCACAACGTTCAAAAAAGGATGATCTTCGCCAAGACACACGGGCTCCACTCACTCAAGCCATTTTTAAATATTTATGTTAAAGGAAATTAGCTATGGCTTGACCTGAAGAGGGATGTATCCACTAACATAAGTTATCCAAGACACGCTATGCTTGAATGAACGACTTTCAACCCGGATATGTTGAGGAAACCGATCAGGTACCCTCTACAAGTAACGACCCTACGACGACAGAGTGCTACAGAAATTGATTATTCTGACGGTGAAATGGTCTTATGTATCATAAATATTTATTAGATTAGCTATAAGTCCACAGTATATGCCATTGTTAATCATTATGCGTACAGGTGCGCCTATGCGCTTACGTGCGATTTCATAGTGACAGTTTTAAGGTTAAATTTAATTGTTAAAGACGAAGATATCCTTGGAATTAGGATATTTTTCTCACACCAAAATTGGCCTTGAGACGTGTTTACCTAATAACCCAATGCCTGAATCAATGCGGTTAGTGCAGGTGGTGGCGGGAACGGAGACCGATTGCCCGTCAGACCATATTTGTTTCCGTAACTATGGCAGTATTATTCGTAAATGGACACTCGAAAAAAAAAAACAAAATCTAGAAATTTTCCTCGAAATTGATTTGCTCATTTTATATACAAAAGACAATATTTCTCTGTCCTTCTGTAAGAAAATTTATTCAGATACGAATAACAATATTTTTCAAATACTATATCTGTACACCGTAAAATAAACAAACAAATAAAAGTAAAGCAAAATTGTTATACTAGTATGCATACATATATATATATATATATATATATATATATATATATATATATATATATATATATATATATATATATATATATATATATATATATATCGGATATTGCAACGAAATTGTCCAAATCGTATGATGAAATGACAGAGAAGATGTATAATAATAATAATAATAATAATAATAAT